GCTCCAGCCACACCAGCTGCCTCACTCAAACTCACGGGGCATGGATGGTCCTGCCTCAGGGCCTTTGCACGGGCTGTGCTCACTGCCTGGTGCACCCTTCTGAGAATCCCCTCATGGCTCCTCCCTCATCTTCTTTAGTTCTCTGCTCAAATGTCACCTCCTCAGTGAAGCCTGCCCTGGCCCCGCCCCCCCCCACCCCCGTGGAAAATTCCAACCTCCTCAAGGTCCCTCATCCCTTTTCTGTTTCGCTTATCACCAAGGGTCCCTATCATGGCTCACTCATCTGGTTTGTCATCCACCTCCCCCACTAGACTGTCAGCCACACGAGGGTGGGGATTTGGATTTCTGTGCCTTATTCCTCCCTGTGTCCTCAGCACCCAGCAGCTGCTCAAGAAATACGGGTTGAATGAAAAAACAAACGGTCATAGTGATGGCAGTGAACTTGAATCGGCACCCGCTGTGTGCTAGGCTCAGAGCCAGGGCTGAGCTCCCATCTTCAGCCTTCCACATTGTGACTTGTGCCATCTCCAGCCACGTAGCCACTACACCAATATTCACTTAATATTTGTCTTCACCTCCATTGTGTTGTGTTTTTTTAATTAAATAAAGTGATCTCCAAAGGATACTCAGTCTTACCAAGTAAAGGAAAGCTGGTGCATTTGCCATTAATAGAAAACCACTTAAAAATGTTCAATGAAAAAGCAAAGACCATGTTCTCAAGTGCAGCTGACGCCGGAGCCTGGGTCTGCCCTCCCTCTGTGAATACGGGAGAACTGCAAGGGTCTGGGAGGCATTAGGGTGAGTTAGCAGCAGCGCAGACTTTCTCGAGGCCCAGAAGGAATGAGTGGAAAAGGAATCAACAGGCCCCATCATGGGGTGGGTGATTTGATGCGGGGCCTCGGATCTGGTCCCCTGTTGGGTGCATATAAAATTTGGACGTTACGATTCAGTCACTCACTGGCTGTCCACTGAGTGCCTGGCCGAGCTGGGGCTCAAAACCAGAGCCGAAGACCCCAGCCTGCTCATGCCCAGCCCCTCTCTCAGAGGAAGGCAAATCAAGGCGGGAGCCCATGGGCCAGAAGCCCTTCCTGTGATACGGCAGAGAGAAGCAGGAGGGGCCCAGGCTTAAGTACACATTGTTTCCTCCATGGCGGGGGGCGGGGGGGGGGGGGTACGTCATTTGGGGTAAACAATGTCAAGAGCTTCCCCATCCTCAGCTGGGACCGGGACAGGCTTGGACTGGGAGCCTGGCTCCAGCCCTGACTTGCTGACGCATGAGCCCGGGCTGATCACTTCCCTGGGGCCTCAGTTCCCTCCTCTGAGAAATGGGGATAATAATAGAACCTCCTTCCTTGCCATGATGGCTTCAGGCCAAGATGGAGAGAGGAAAACTGTCTGCTCAGAGCAGGGTCTTCTCCCTACCCCCTTGCTTCCCTCTCTGCAGGCTGCCCGAGGCTGAGGGATTTCTCCCAGGCAGAGCTATCCAGAGCGAGGGGACCCAGTTCCGTATGGGGGTGAGCTCCCCGTCAGAGGGAGTATGTAAGAAGAGGCATAGTGAAGATGGAGCTGGGTGCGGAGGACCGTGGGGAGTTAATGACAGACGTTTGGAAATCTTTTTGGCCCCGAGGGCTTTGTTTAGCACCCTGGGGCTGAAATAGACCTAGCTTGACAATAGCCTCGTGGCAAAACTGTTGATGGCACAGGCTTTAGGATCAGAGGGGTCTGACAAAAATCCAACACACCTCCTTGAACCTCAGGTCCTAAACTGCAAATGGGATGCCTATCCTAGGTCAGCAGTGTGGTCCTGAACAGGGTAGGGGGTGGGGGGGTGGGGGGGTGTAGGACCGACCCTGGAGGGAGCACAGGGTGTTATTGGAGCTGTGGTCTGAGTCACCTTCCCCGTGACGCACAAGGTGTCGTCCAACAGATGACCAGGCCCTGGGAGGCAGTGAGGGGGTCAAAGGCATGGAGCCATCACCTGAACATGTGCCAGGCACCCTTGATGCTCCCCACTGAGGCCCTGGGTTCCTTGCTCCTCCAGCCATGTGTGGACAGCACTTGACAGCTGGCAAAGCATTTGCATCCCTTTGATTTCAGAGACCCCCATTTTTTTTTTTTTTTCCTGTACGCGTGCCTCTCACTGTTGTGGCCTCTCCCGTTGCGGAGCACAGGCTCCGGACGTGCAGGCTCAGCGGCCATGGCTCACGGGCCCAGCCGCTCC